TATTGAATTTAAAACATAAAAAATAAATGGGGCAGATGTTATCCATACCTGTCTCGGGGTGGAATTCCCTGACCCTAATATTCAATTAAGCAGGTAACAGGACGGGGCTTCGCGAGTATCGGATTTTACAGTTTTTTTGGTCATCCGTACACCAAACGAGATGCATAATATCGAAAACCACGAGATAAGCATGAAATCTCGCGACAAAGAGGTGAGGAAGTATCTTAAGAGTCTGTTTGGGAGTAATTTTGAGAATTAATTTTTTGACTGTTATGAGAAAAGTGGATTCACCTATGAGAGAAAAAATCAAAATCAAATATAATGATTGAAATAGTGAAATAATATCAATAAATCAATTTTTTGGAGGAAAAAATCGTTCCTAGACAAGCTGTAAACATTAAGGAATGCGTTATGAGTACCGACTGTAACGCCACCAACATATTCAACTATATCTGAAAGCATTTCAAATCCGCCACTTCCCTCATCTCACGCAACGATAAGCAGACGGATAAGACGTCCTGGTTATCATCGATAGCCCATTTGAAGTGAAAAGCACCTACACTAATCAGTGATAGGTCCGTAGAATAGGATAGACTGGCAAACGCATTGAAGATAGCAAAACCAAGTGCTTATTTCCCCACCACCACTAATTCCTCTCTCTCTCTCTCTCTCTCTCTCTCTGTGTATGCACAACACCTTTATATACATTTCTCTCTCTATCTATATATATATAATTACTCTCTTTTTCTCTAATTTCTTGCTTTTTGTTCCTCATCGCAGCCTTTCTTTCCTTTTTCGGTGTTTTTAGAGAAACCCTAGGAATCTGGAGCTGAATGTCGTCGGTGTTGAGGTGGGTTGGTTTCTAGGGCTTCGATCTGTTGATTGTGGTGAGCTTTTTTTGTATTTTGCTTGGATTTGTGAGTCTGAGGTGAAGAAGAGTCAGAAATGTCGTCGTTGAGCAGAGAATTGGTTTTCCTCATACTCCAGTTCCTCGAGGAGGAGAAATTCAAGGAGTCTGTTCACAGGCATGTGTATAAGTATATTTAATTGCATATTTATTTTTTTGTCTGTTATGAGTGGGTACTTCTGTGATGTGTATGATTTGATGGGTCTAGTTTTCTTTTTTGATGGGAAAATTATAAGAAAATATTGGGTTTTAAATTTTGAATTTGTTTTGAGCTTTTTTCAAAAAATAAAAAATAAACCTCAATTGTTGTCTGTTGACTAGTGAGGTTTTGTTTTGCTTTTTTTTTCTCTTTCTGGGTGTGGGGGAATTAGAGCTTACGTTATCAAAGTAATTTTGATATAAATATGTATTTAAAATAAGAAATTTTTGGTGTGAAAACGGTTAGTTGATGGTTGGTTCTGGAGATGTGTTACTAAAAAAGAAAAGGAAATGGAAAGCTACAGTAACTGCACACTTGATTGTACTTTTTAATATTAGTAAAGGAAAAAGTGAACGCTCTTTAAAACTGGAAGTTCTGTTAAACACGGACGACTTTTGAGATTTGCTTAAACAAAATTGGAAATTTTTGATGTAATTGCTTATGGCCTTGTTTACGTGGATGTTCTGTTTTGTAGGCTTGAGCAAGAGTCAGGGTTTTTCTTTAATATGAAATACTTCGAGGACAAAGTGCATTCTGGTGAATGGGAGGAAGTTGAGAAGTACTTGTCAGGTTTTACTAAGGTTGATGATAACAGATACTCCATGAAAATCTTTTTTGAGATAAGGAAGCAGAAGTATCTTGAAGCACTTGATCGGTAAGTTGATATACATCTATCATGATTTTATATTACATATCCTTTGTTAAAGAAAGAGTTCAGTTGTCACTCTTTTTTTCCCTTCTTGGTTATTGTGGGGGGTGTGAATTTTTTGCATCTTTATTGATATCGACAGGCAAGACAAGGTGAAGGCAGTTGAGATACTGGTAAATGACTTGAAGGTGTTCTCAACATTTAATGAGGATTTGTACAAAGAAATTACTCAGCTATTGACACTTGGCAATTTCAGGTAGTATTTATTTCCTTTAATACGGCACAAGGAGCATCAGTATGTAATATGTTCACCTTGTAAAATGCATGACATCATTCCTTACGCTATGAGCGTGAGTGTTGACTTATGGTCAGCTCATAGACAGCCTTGACTTTCTGCTTCATCACTTTGGGATTCGAACCCATGAAAAATGTGTTTACGGGAAAGAAAATTATTGAGAAAAATTAGATTGAAATTTTTGTAATCTGATTGTGAATCTTCATTGCATGCCTATTATTAAAATTTGAATCCCTGTATAATGTTGCTAGAGGAAAATTATATTGAAAGAGCCTGAGCATTTAATGACACTAAAAGAATTTCATTATTAGTAATTCCTCTCTCTCTCTCTCTCTCTCTCTCTGTGTATGTGCACAACACCTTTATATACTTTTCTCTCTCTCTATATATATATAATTACTCTCTTTTTCTCTAATTTCTTGCTTTTTGTTCCTCATCGCAGCCTTTCTTTCCTTTTTCGGTGTTTTTAGAGAAACCCTAGGAATCTGGAGCTGAATGTCGTCGGTGTTGAGGTGGGTTGGTTTCTAGGGCTTCGATCTGTTGATTGTGGTGAGCTTTTTTTGTATTTTGCTTGGATTTGTGAGTCTGAGGTGAAGAAGAGTCAGAAATGTCGTCGTTGAGCAGAGAATTGGTTTTCCTCATACTCCAGTTCCTCGAGGAGGAGAAATTCAAGGAGTCTGTTCACAGGCATGTGTATAAGTATATTTAATTGCATATTTATTTTTTTGTCTGTTATGAGTGGGTACTTCTGTGATGTGTATGATTTGATGGGTCTAGTTTTCTTTTTTGATGGGAAAATTATAAGAAAATATTGGGTTTTAAATTTTGAATTTGTTTTGAGCTTTTTTCAAAAAATAAAAAATAAACCTCAATTGTTGTCTGTTGACTAGTGAGGTTTTGTTTTGCTTTTTTTTTTCTCTTTCTGGGTGTGGGGGAATTAGAGCTTAAGTTATCAAAGTAATTTTGATATAAATATGTATTTAAAATAAGAAATTTTTGGTGTGAAAACGGTTAGTTGATGGTTGGTTCTGGAGATGTGTTACTAAAAAAGAAAAGGAAATGGAAAGCTACAGTAACTGCACACTTGATTGTACTTTTTAATATTAGTAAAGGAAAAAGTGAACGCTCTTTAAAACTGGAAGTTCTGTTAAACACGGACGACTTTTGAGATTTGCTTAAACAAAATTGGAAATTTTTGATGTAATTGCTTATGGCCTTGTTTACGTGGATGTTCTGTTTTGTAGGCTTGAGCAAGAGTCAGGGTTTTTCTTTAATATGAAATACTTCGAGGACAAAGTGCATTCTGGTGAATGGGAGGAAGTTGAGAAGTACTTGTCAGGTTTTACTAAGGTTGATGATAACAGATACTCCATGAAAATCTTTTTTGAGATAAGGAAGCAGAAGTATCTTGAAGCACTTGATCTGTAAGTTGATATACATCTATCATGATTTTATATTACATATCCTTTGTTAAAGAAAGAGTTCAGTTGTCACTCTTTTTTTCCCTTCTTGGTTATTGTGGGGGGTGTGAATTTTTTGCATCTTTATTGATATCGACAGGCAAGACAAGGTGAAGGCAGTTGAGATACTGGTAAATGACTTGAAGGTGTTCTCAACATTTAATGAGGATTTGTACAAAGAAATTACTCAGCTATTGACACTTGGCAATTTCAGGTAGTATTTATTTCCTTTAATACGGCACAAGGAGCATCAGTATGTAATATGTTCACCTTGTAAAATGCATGACATCATTCCTTACGCTATGAGCGTGAGTGTTGACTTATGGTCAGCTCATAGACAGCCTTGACTTTCTGCTTCATCACTTTGGGATTCGAACCCATGAAAAATGTGTTTACGGGAAAGAAAATTATTGAGAAAAATTAGATTGAAATTTTTGTAATCTGATTGTGAATCTTCATTGCATGCCTATTATTAAAATTTGAATCCCTGTATAATGTTGCTAGAGGAAAATTATATTGAAAGAGCCTGAGCATTTAATGACACTAAAAGAATTTCATTATTAGTAATCCATTTATAAATCTTCATTTTCTGCATTCCAGAAACCGCAGGGGAAGAATAAAACCAGAACCTGCGGGGGAAGAATAAAATGTTCTTAAAAAATATACCATCTCGGAAGTCTGATTAGATTGGTTACAATATATCAAAAAGTCCCACTTAATCAATCCTAGCTAGATTATTTATCCGTGTGAAAATGTTAGACGAACTCTAAGAAGCTGTCACCAACCTGTCCTACACTGTGTTGCAAGTGTGTTTGAGAAGTTTAGGTTATTGATCGTTTAATTTCTCGCAAGTGAACGGATCTTGAACAAGTAATAAAGTAATGAATAGAGTGTCAAACCCACGAAGATTATGTATTTGATCGAATTAAAATTAATTGTAACTTTAATCGAATAGCAAACAAGTTGTTGTAATTTTTCTATCAAATCCCTTAATTATTAATTAAATTAGTTAAAGCAAGTAAATGTGCTTTTCAAATATGTGAAATGTATTGTTAAAATGTTGAATCCTCCGTATTATTCCATTTTTAGTGCAACAATTAAAGTGACAATTTGAAATCATTGATATTGGTCAATGCTCCTAATTTAATTGAAAGGTTAACTTTAATCGAATAGCAAACAAGTTGTTGTAATTTTTCTATCAAATCCCTTAATTATTAATTAAATTAGTTAAAGCAAGTAAATGTGCTTTTCAAATATGTGAAATGTATTGTTAAAATGTTGAATCCTCCGTATTATTCCATTTTTAGTGCAACAATTAAAGTGACAATTTGAAATCATTGATATTGGTCAATGCTCCTAATTTAATTGAAAGGCTATTTCGATAGCGATCAAATCTATTCCTCTCGTGTGACTCTTTTATTTGTCAATGAAAGATGCAAACATGATAAATGCATTAACAAATACTATAACACCTATTGAAACCATATAAAGCATGGAAATATATTTTTATTCTCCATCGAACCTTACATTGTTTATTATATTGTGCTTAAACCTTGTTGTATCTCTCGATAACAATAAAATTTATTAACACTTCAATTGGTGATCAAACAATTGAAAAGAACGATAAAAATTATAATAAACATTTTTTTTATGACCGTGAATGTCATGGGCAACTTATGCGTACTTCGACTAATTCCACGGAACCCTGAAGTTTATAGATGGGTACTCACCTCAGTAGCCCTGATGGGATCGAACCGGTGACCATTGGGGAGTAAACCCAATGTCTGGCCATTGAGCTATCTCTCAGGGTTATGAAAATTATAATAAATATTCACAAATTAAAGTCAAAATAATTAATTAAAAACCAAAAATATCATAACAAGGGTTCATCTCATCCTAGCAATGTATAAAACTAGCTTAACATATCGAAATTACAAGAAATCATATTTAAGTGAAAATACACTACTCTGGATTTTTGATAAATTGAGAAGATGAAGATGAATCTTGAAATCTTGAATTTTTTCAATGGTTTCTTGATGAATCTCTACTTGTGCCTTCTCTTTTTTTGTCCAAAAATCAAGTTTGAATCTCCACTTGATTGAATTCTTGTAAGTCCCCTTCAAATTTCTGACAAAAACAATGAATTTTCCTCATATGATGATAATAATTGATGAGTATTAGAGTATGAGATGTATATGAGAGGTGTAGGAGAGGTCTCTTTAATGTATATTGCTGTTAGGTATTTGTAGGAGTCGAAAATTAGTTAAAAATCATGTCCAAATTGGCTTCCAAAAGAGTTTTAATCGAAAAAGGAAAGTTGCGCTCAGATTTTTTATCTAGTCGATATTTGTTCATAACTTTCTCTTCTAATATCCGATTGAAGTGATTTAAAGTGTATTGGAAAGTTAACTCAAAGGGCTACAATTTTGTTAGAAATTTTCCAATTCAGATGTTTATGATGTCAAAAATGGGTCTCAATTTTCGACTAAAAATTTGTTAGATATCTCGTGTGAATGAAAATTGATTTATGGTAATATTTTAATCATATTTCATTCCTTTTTTATTTCTAGTTGTATTCAATTGACTCGTAGCAATTTTCAAAGTATTTCTTGTGATCCTAATTTACCATTGGATATTTGCAATTTGGTCCTCAAATTTTGTGTTTCACCATTTTTTGCCTTTTTCGCTTCTTTCTTTTAATTTTACTTTGAATCATTGAGTTTTACCTAATAAATGAAATATATAATAAATTATGCTATAATTGCTTAAAAGAACTATTAAATGTCTGTATTTTTAGGTTCAAATAAGTGTATGAAATACACTTATTAGTTATATGGCTGGAAAATTATTCATGTTGTCAATTAATCTGGGATCAAATGTTTTGGAACTGTACATTTGGTTAATGGCATTTTAAATTCATTCATTATCAACTATTCATTTTATCAACTTTTATGAAAATCTACCAAAACTTTTATTAAAAGCTTTGTTAAACAACCCCTTAATTTTCTAATAAAATGCAGATTCGATTGGATAGAGGTGCATTGAATGGAGGAGTAACATATATTGGGGAAAGAAAGAAAGCAAATCCTGGAGAAACTATATTAACCTAAAAAGAATGGAAAATCTATGTTGCAAGGAGGGTACAAAGTGGAAATGTGGTATCTTCATTAAATTTTTAAATGCATTTAATATGCGCATGGATAAAAGATCTACCACCACGTGATATGACAAGTTATCGTACATATTAGCTGTGCTTAAAGAAAATTAGATAATGGCAGTTGTCGTAAAGCTTTTGTGCATACTTTGATGATCAAAAGCTGAAATTACAAAATATTTCACATTGCTGTGTATGTATGTATTCCTAAATTTTGCAGTGCAGCCTGACTCAAATAGTTAATGTGCTAGCTAAAACTCCTGAGCAAGTGTCGCAGACATGTTAGCCAAATGCACATTATTGAGAAGGGTTATAAGATAAAATGAGTGAGGCATCTTGGACATTTACTTT